TNNTATATATCCCTAGCCATCGGATATCATCCGTCAACTACCAGAGAAGTTCCCCAGAAGTCCGACAACCACCAGCGACCTTGGAGGCACCAGCCGCGCTCAGCCGCGCGCAGTATTGGAGCAGTAGTGCGCAGACTCGTCGGCACTGTTCCTAGTCGCGCGTTCGCAGCGAGATTCGAAGTGCCTGTAGCGCGACCTGCGAAGTCTCTAGATATCCGCAAGAAACCTATGACATTTTCGCGCGACCGTATCCCGCTCGTGTGACCCGACGCAACATTCTGCGTGTTCAAGTAGACTCGCAACGTGCCGCCGAGATCCGCGTGATGCCCAGCTTTCCAGAGAACAGATCTAGGTCATTCGCGAAGAGACTCGAGAGACCTCGTGCATACGCAAAGCACAAGGCACTCCCAGCACGCAAAAACCCGGCCAGCCTCGGCCACGAGCGCATAGACCCGTGCACTCCCGAGTACCAGCGACCACCAACAAGCTCCGGTGACCACCAATAGTCCAACGACATTCCGGCAAGCCCGATCAGCCAGGGACCATGGTACGGAGCCCAAGGTGATGGGGTAGTTTGCTTCAAGCCGGGCAGTGTAGTTTGCTTCAAGCCGCTATAATCCACCAGAAGCCTTCTGGGCTAGATCGGATGGGGTAGTTTGTTTTTAGCCATTATGAACAATCAAAATGATCTAGGTCAGGTGGGGTAGTTTGCATCAAGCCGCTATGAAATACCAGAAGACTTATGGGCTAGGTCGGGCAGGGTAGTTTGCTTCAAGCTGCATTGAACGACCAGAAGCCTTCTGGGCTAGGTCGGGCAATGTAGTTTGCTTCAAGCCACTATTAACGGAGAAAAGCCTTCTGGGCTAGGTCGAGCGAGGTAGTTTGTTTTAAGACGATATGAACGACCACAAGCCTTTTGAGCTAGGCCGGGCAGGGTAGTTTGCTTCAAGCAATGTTATGAAAACCGGACAGGACCGGCCGGTTCGACTGTTTCTACCGAGAACCGACCAATACACTGGTTCGATTTGAGGTATGGAACCGCTGGGGTTCAAAGCCGGTTAGAAACCGGTAAAATCGTCGAACTGGTGCGGGTAAATGAGGCCCAGCGGCTCAGTAGTAAGCTTTGCACAGGGCAGAGTGTACAATCATTTAAATAGTTGCATTGTGTTGTTTATGTCTCCGATGTGGGATGCTCACAACTTGTGGAATCTTTAGTTTTTTCTGGATTACTAATTGGGCCCAGCTCACAAATAAATAACTATTTTTGGCCCTTATATGGCCTTACCTCCAATTGTTTGTTAGCTGAATTATTTTGGGCCTTCACAAATAGCTGAATTGTTTTGTTCACAAATGGCTAAATTATTTTGGGCCATCAAAAATCTTTTCCCAAAAATGAGAAAACGGAAACAATGCATTTTTGTTATAAGCCTACACTTGGAAATGGCATGGTAGCTAAAATAGTTAGAATATGCACGATTATTTATTTATTTATTTATTATTTATTTAGAAAATGTCATTGTACACTAAAAAATTAATGATAAATATATAAAATTATATATTATACATACAAAAAAAATATAAATTTATATATTAGTTAAATTGGTTCGACCACTGGTCCGACCGGTGAACCATTGGACGGTAGCTTCACCGGTTCGATGACCGGTTCGGTTTTCGAAACCTTGGCTTCAAGCCACTATGAAGAACCAGAGAACTTCTGGGCTAGGTCGGGCGGGGTAGTTTGTTTCAAGCCGCTATGAATGATCAGAAGTCTTCTTGGCTAGGTCGGGCAGTGTAGACCCTATACAATCGAATAATACTTGAAAAGATCCCAACTATTTTAACGTAGCGTAACACAAGGAATACATGTTATAAGCATAACCCAATTAATGTAGCACGAGAAATGACCTAGTTGAGGCCAGTATCCCATCTCGAATTTACTAAGATAACTGATCTATACGTTTTCGTTCATATAATATGAGACTCGATTTGCTCGTTAATGGTGCAACAGCTCGTCCATGATATAATGTGACCTAGTTACATGATAAATGATTCCCTCGTCAACGATGTAATACAAACCGAATACAAGCAAAATTAAAAAAAATCCCCACGGAGCCTAAAGAGATGCATATCAATTGAGTACATTATTATGACCCAAGTTCATTGAGCAACTCACGATTAAATGACTTGATTAACCTATATTAACTAACTAAACGACCAAATTAATCCAACAATTGATAATTGTATTGGTGGGTCGATAAGACGACCTGATTCTTGTTAGGTTCGCTGAAGAAAATCGACATAAGTGCACATTCAAATCCTATCGAATTGAATCCTAACATAACAGAATCTATTGTTAGAATTGAGGACTTATGTTTCAAAATTATTCTTGACTCTGAGATGATTACACAGCCTACGAGGCTAGACAAACAGTTCTGAGACGCGTCCTCTATTCCGTGTCCATTTTTTTTTCTTAAACTTGATTCTTTTCCAAAGAATAAGTTTGGGGGAGAGAAGTGTCGTATATCTTGAAGTTTTATTGCTTTCTTACATTTCATATAGTTGTTTGCATTAGTTTTAAATTTTTAGAATGTTTTTTATATATTTATTTTATTTTATTTTACTTTAGGATGCATGTTTACTTGCTTTATTAGAATAATAATAATTTGCTTGAGTCGAATATTTTTGCTTTGTCTTGTGTGTGGTTTGGATGATTGGTTGATAGACGAGAATTTTTTAGAGTTACTTATTTTAATTATGATATTGTGATGATGATCATAAATTATGTATCTTGATGAATTACTTGATTGATTTGAATCAATGATTTATTTGCCTTAGAGAGGATGTGAGCCTTATTATATTTCTTGTGTGATTAGCCGAATACTTGGGATACTAGAACTTGTATTAGTTCTTACTTGAAAAATATGATCATGTACGTGAAGTTTTGAAAATGATTTTGGCAGTTCTTTTTATCTAGCCTATTTTATCCTCTTTATTTTTCTCAAAATTTTATCTTTAGTAGTCCGTTTGAGCCTTGAGCGTTTTTTTATAAGCTTTGATGTGATTGATTTTAATTATATGGAGATGGGGTTGAGTTCAGCTTTATGTGATGATAAGCTGTGATGATTTTTTGTTTTGGAAATAATGAGTATGAGATGGGTTATGATTGTAAATTGAGGCATTTGATTGAAAAAAAAAATGAGAAAAAAAAAATAAAGAGAGCTGGCAAGGTGAATTGTGGGGATTCTACTCCTCTTACTCGTTGAATTTGATTTGTCGAATCATGAATAATGAGTAATGAGAAACCATTCTAGGACACTTGGATGATGTCCAAAGGCTACACCTGAAAAATGTTGTCCTTGTCATTCATTCTTGTTTGGAAAAGTTGGTATCTTGGAAAAAAAAAATGAAAAAAAAAATAATCAATTGCCAAGATTTGCATATACGGTATTGTTCTTTATAGAGTTGTGTATGTATGTTTTTGTTGGGAGATAATTGGACATAGAAGATGATGATTTTGCATCGATGTCTTGTTCGATTTGTTTTAGTCACTTGGCCTATATTTTCCTACCTTGTCCAAAGAGTCTACAATACAATCCAAAAGACCTTTTTGATTATTTGCTCACGTATCTTAATTGTATTCAGTATAATGTAGGCGATTTACAATCTTCTGGTTGACCTTATGTTTTGAACTAACTTGAGCGTACCCTTTGAATTATTGATGATATTTCACAAGATATTTGAGTGAGGCACATACATATTTGACCTTATTTGAGAGTTCATTAATTCAAAGTTTTATTAAGTTAAGAGTTGAGGCATATGTATTTGAAATTACTTGAATTTATCTTGATTATTTGGGTGACGTGAGGCTTCTCTTGTTTCTTTTCACTTTCATGTACGATGTTTGTTTTTGCTTTGTTATTATTCGGGACGAACAAGGGTTATTAGCGAACTAAAATGCTTACACATCATAAATTTGAATCCAAATATGATACAACAACCGCTAGCTGATAAGAGTTTTAAAAAAATTACTATTTCATCCACAATCAACAAAACAAGAATTTCAACCAAACGATCATATCAATTACTATTAAAATTCTAAATAGATCAACTAACATGAAAAGAGAAATAAAGACAATTAGACAAATCAAACAAACATCTAATATGGGGTTTAAAAATATAACTTACCATTAAAGAAGAATTAAATCGTCTTCTTGAGAGTAGTCTCTTTCTTGTTAAATAGCTTAAAATTCATTTTTATTTTTCCTTCAAAATTTTATGTTCATAGAGGGGCATGATCATACAACTGATTGTTTGGTTGTTGTTTTGTGTTTAATGGTGCTTTTGTGGGTTAGTAAAAAGGGTCAATCATATATAATATTTTATTAGAGAGTGGTGTTTTAGACTTAAATAGATAAATAAGTTCATTTGGTGGGTCAGTGAAAAGTGTCAATCATATACAATGTTTTATGTGAAAGTAATGCTTTGGGCTTAAATATATAAATAGGTAATAAATTTAACTGGGTTGACTTATTGAGTTGGGCTAAGGATACTATAAAAAAAGATAAATAAATAAAAAAAAATTAAAGCTAGTAATTATTAAAAATATATATGCATGGGCTTTAGCCAAGCTCAAGCCAATGGTAGATCCGTCCTGTGTGTAACTCAAGTAATTATTTCGAAAAACTATAAATGGGGTTCAAGAAACAATTTGATAGATTCAAGAAATTGTTTTTGGGGTTCAAAAAATAATTTCTAATGTTCAAGAAACAATTTCAATAACTTGGTATATTGCAGGAATATTTGGCAGAAAAAAGTTGCAGGAATATTTGATCGAAAAAGTTACCGAAAACTTTGAACTGACTGGAATATGCTCAATATAAAATCATTTCATTTTTATTTTTTTCTTTTTTAGTTAAAATTTGTAGTAGGTGTACATTTTTATATTTGCCATGATTCACTTTTTCTCTTAATAAATGACTAAAAAACCTATGGAGTGTATTTCAAACGTTTATCGTGATACGACGAACGCCTCCAGTTTCGCTTTGCGGCACAACATTAATCTGATGGGAATTGGAAAGTCGTCCGTCACTCGGGTGGCTGATTGTCACTTCATATTCGCCATGATAAAACGAGTCCTCGTAAAATCCGTCAGAATCAGTAGTTCCGGGGTAATGATCATTCTCTGCCAACTGCCCTCTGAACCTGTCAACCACATCACCAGTGGCTAAATTTTTAAAATTACCGTCCGTGAGACACATTGTGTAGCATCCCTGTTGACTCCGGGCAACCCAGAGTATTATGCCTTGCACGGCCGGGTGTGAATGAATCTCATGCAGAACTTGATCCAAGTATGATGCCTGCCCAAGTATTTCAATCAAAAATAATAATTATTAAATTATTAATGGGAAAGGATAAATATTTAACTTTTACCTGGTTGGGCCCAGACGTAACGTCCAACTCGGTAACCCAAATGGGGAGCCTAGCGGACGCGAGCGCATCAATGGCAGACCTTGTAAAGGGCAAATTGGGAATCGAAAAATGGCCCTGCACCCCAATACCCAAAGGACCATTATAACCCTGGGCCCTAAATTCCCTAATCTTCCCCAAATACTTGGCCGGCGACGAAGCCCCATCACGCGCGTCCTCAATCGTATTGTATTCGTTCAGAAACGGCGTCGCACGGCCGTCGATCTTGTTCGCCATCGAATAGAACTGTCTCGAAGCCTGATTCCCCAACTTGGTCTCGAAGAAATTGAAGTGCAGATTCTCGTTCATCACGTCCCAGTGGATGAGCTGCCCCTTGTACCGGCCCACCACCGAGTTTACCCTCTTCATGGCGGCGGACCGGAGATCGGCCGGAGAAAGACCGCCGACCCAGCCCGGTTGGAACTTTGCGTCGGCCCAGAGCACGTTGTGGCCGCGGATGGCGACGCCGCGGGACTGGAGAAGGCGGACCAGGGCGTCGGAGGTGGAGTAGTCCTCGGAGCCCCGGGAAGGCTCGTTGGAGACCCACTTGAGCTCGTTCTCGAAGACGGCGTGTTTGAAGCGGGAGAAGAACCAGGTTTGGTAGGGGGCGTTGTTGAGGAAGTTGTTGTTGATGGCGACGCCGAGAGGGAATCCGCCGCGGGCCTGCTTGATGGACACGGTGGCGTTGGGGACGGGTCGGCCGTGCTGGTCCAGTGCCTGCAATTTTACCCTCCCTTTGCGTGCCTGCATATGTTTTCGAGTTTTAATTATACAAATATGAAATATTCAAATGTTTTCATTTTTAATGAACCTTGTGTTGAACATTTAATGATAATATTTTGCAATTTGAAAAAAAAAAAATGTTTTCCTTTTTCAAATGTTATAATATTGCGTGTGATTCTAATCTTGTATGAATTAAAAGGGGACGAATTTCATCGTCATATAATGCTTCATATTTTATTTGGGTAAGTTCAAATCTTTTCTTCATTTAAGAATGTTTTATTTGGGTAGTGTTTTTAATTTTTATTCACCTTTTCCAAGCTATCTCGTTGGTGAGATATCCACTCTTCTTGAGTAAATGGCTGCAACGAAATGCTGTCCGCCCAAATATCAACTTCTGAATTTTGGCTCTGACAACCACAAGGCAATAATTTTGTTGAAAAAATGTAACACTATTTTATATAAATAAAATCAACTATAGTCGAGTCATAAGTGTTATAACTTAAAAAAAAATGGGCAACCTCAAAATAAAGTTGGGCTGGGCCGGATTCATTGACGGTTAAGCCACCCTTCAAAAAGGACCAACAACCTTTTTTAGCCGTGACCCAACCAGCTATCACATAACTCGTGTTGCTCTTGAAAACTGCTGCTATATCGGCTTCTGCATTGCTTACTTGTAACCAAGCTATAAATTATCTTTTATTAGTAGCAGTACAATACCCATACTTAATTTACGTACAAGTTAATTAAGAAATATATACATTTATTTTATTTAAAAATAATAATAAAAAGCGGTCATTTTAGATTTTTACGATTTTCATATGTGTGGAAGATGAATAATATAATATTGAAAGGGAATGAATCGTTGTAATTACCCGAGAAAGTGTATAGTTTTTCGTTCTCCAAATTAAAAATTTGTGGTAAACTATGAAAAGATTGATTTCTTTTAGAAGCAACAATGTATTTGTTGCCATCATCAGATTGTTGATGCTCTATATTTATATCTCCAAATTGTGTCCAACCCTTCAAACCCTCATTGAATTCGGGGTTCACAACTATTCCTCCATCATATTGAGACCTTAGAGGTGTTGCCAAACACTGAAAAATAACAAAGAAAAATAAATAAATAAATTGAATTACTCCAAAAACAAAGGTATTCCTACAAATAAGTGCAACCATAATGCCCGTGTTAGTCATGTCTAAGAGCTAAATAGTAATAATTGTCCCTAAATGTGCATGGTAAAATGTTATACTTAAAATATAATATAAATAAAAATACCATATTTTATGACGTAATTTTTATTTTTGTTAAAAAAATATAACTTATCCACATAACTAGCTGCCATACGAAATTTGTGATACATAATTAGCTGAGTTTTCCGTGAAAATGTAGACTTGCCTCGTCTGTAAATGAGTAATCATAAGGCACCGCATTGGCATGAAAACCTGAGATGCACATAAAGAGTGTTAAGCAAATTTTTAATTTATTATATATCATTCTATACAAAATAAGTAATCACATATATATAGCTTCCTATTATTTGCCACTTAATTATGTTTTCTATTGAATGAGAGGAGAGGGAGATATAATACCAAATAGAAGATGTTGAACGAAAGCGAAGAACACAAAAGAATAGAATAGCTTTGTCATTGTTAATTGTGAATTTGTGATGATTGTTCTACCAAGAGGTCCCATTTATATAGGATTAAGGCACCAAAAATCTTGATACATAGACTCACAAAATACCAGGATTGTAAAAAATCTTTATGATTTTTTTCAAATATTACCAAGTACTGACCATAGGTGAAATGTGCATATAATTATGTATATTCTATTAAATTGATGCTATCATGATAGTATTACCAATACATATTTATTATTCGTGCAATGATTTTATTATATGCTAGTGAGTATCCCATGTGATGCACGGCGGACTTATTTATTTTTTTAAAAAAAAATTATTTTAACAATATCTTAACTCGCTAACGGTTTATATTAATATAAATAATATTTTAACATCTATATTTATTTTTTAATATAAGCAAAATAATAATTTACTTATTTTTGTTCATCATAATACTCAAATATTATTTTTTTAAAATTTATTGTCATATAACGTCATTATTATTATTATTATTATTATTATAAAATATTATTATATATATATAATAATAAATTTAATATACATTGATATTATTTATTATGTAATTAATTTAAAAATATTTAAACAAATTTAAAATAAATATTGTGCTATAAATGCATTCTATTCATTTTTAGAACTTGTCCTATCTCATAATAAATAAAAATAATCATATATATATATATATATATATATGTGTGTGTGTGTGTGTGTGTGTGTGTGTATAAGTTTATGACATTATTAAATATGTTAAGCCCAAAAATAAAATTAGTAAGACAGTATTATCGGTGAATTTTCCAGTAGAGGTTTTTTTAGACTATTGAGTTTTAAGATAGAAGATATCAACCCATATATTACATTTGATTTATTTGAATCAATTAATCATTTACGATTGTTAATGTAACAAAAATAATGGAATGAATTCAAATTTTAAAAAGGTATCGTAGTTAGATAAATTTCGACAACCAATTGCGTGTGATTTGTCCAAAAAGTTAACTAAATCACGCGATTGTATAGTCGGGAATTTCCAAGACTTTATCTAACAAATTGATTTAAACAGTCCATATAAATTAGATTCTTTCCAAACTATAAGAAGGTATGAAAAGGTTAACAAAATTTAACACGATTGTGTAGTGGGGGTTTTCCAAAAATAATCCCTCCGTAATATAATTTCAAAACGTGCTGAGCCTAAATGGTTGGCTCGCACGCTTCGGAAGCTTACTTGGCAAAATTACATGCTTCGACTTTTTGTTCGGATAAAAATTAATAAATACTTAATAAATAAGATTTTTGCTTAATCAAATTCCCTCCAACCCCAAAACTTACTTGGCAACATTACATGTTTCGGCTTTTGGTTCGGATAAAAATTAATAAATACTTAATAAATAAGATTTTTGCTTAATCAAATTCCCTCCAACTCCAAAATAAATAGGATTCTTATCTTATAAATTTTTTGCTTCATATTATAATATTATTAAATACTTAATATCAAGATGTGGTTTGAACCTACTTATTGTCTTGTATCTCCCAATTTCTACGATTAAAATTTTATGAAACTCTTTCTTTTATTTTTTTATTCTTTCATATTAATTAAGATGGGGCATACGTACAATATTAATATTTCGAGCCACCAAATTAACAAAAGGATGACATTTTACATCAAAATAAAAAGGTAAAAAAATTTAACCATGAAGATTTACTTCAATGATCAATAAATACACATATTATATTTATCAAACTTAATATCAAGTTATTATGAAAATAATTATTTTATTGTTTATCAAAAAAATTTCATAATTTTGACGATTTTTGTATAAAAATGTTATGAGTGGGAGGATGGTATTTCTTGAGTCAATTGGAGTAAAAAGGTTTTAGTGATAATTGAAGTAAATAATTTTTAATAATGTGGGATGGTATAAAAAATTTTTGTAAACTATTATATTATATTTATAATAGTGGGAGGATGTAATTAAGAAATACCATGCTCAATTATAACTCAAGATTATTATTTAAAATTATACTAATAATGTAGTTTTGCAAAACTTGAAAATAAAAAATAAAAATCTATATTTAGGGTTTTTAGTTTTATTATTAAATATTTCTTAATTCAACAACCGTGTAGTACACAGGTGTTATACTAGTATGTATTAATCCTAAACAAACATGAGTAGTTAGATAGTATCATTAGTGAATTTTGTGATATAAATTTTTTAATTAAAGTATTGAATTTTATGATAAAAATATTCTCAAGATACTGTGTTTGATTTTTTCAAAATAAATGCAATTTACAATTGCTAGTGTACAAAAAAAAATAGAAC